CAGAGGTGATCTGCCTGTTCCTAGAGCCTGAAGGCTTGTTGTTTGGCATGGAAACAGGAAAGGGAAGGTACCTCTGTCCCCAGGGGAAATAGTCTCATGACAAGGACACTGCTGAAAGCCCCCACAGCATCACTCCCCTGGTGGTGAGGCAGCGATGCTGAACCCAGAGGAGGTATGTCATGCCTGGAAACGTGTTTCTTTTCCTTGTGCAAATCAGTAGGTATAATTAAAGATTACCCTTGTCCCTGCAAGTACAACACATTTAATAAACCCATCTGTGCTCTGTGACTTCCATGTAATACCTCAGCTCAAAGATGTTGACCAGAGGGTTTGCACATACTCTCCCTGAACTTGGTTATTGTTTCTAGTGATGCAGCCATTCAGCTCCAGCATATGCAAAGCCTCTTGAGGGGATGCACCCAAACTCCTAACAGCAGCTATCAGTGCACAAAACAGTGGCAGGGGCAAGAGAGAGACCTAGTGGAACAAAATGGAGGAAAAAAACCTGAATGCTTTCAATCCCTTCTCAATAGTCAAGACCTGGTGCTGCTGGAAACAGCAATGGCCACTGCGCAGAACCACCCAACAGCAGTCCCAGGGTTAAAGAAGAATGAACAAACTACAAAAAAAATCCCTTAAGAAGTCTCTACTTTAACTCTGAAAACACATCTTTCTCTTTCACTGAGCAGACAAGGAGGGAGGAACTTTGTCTTCGTTGCTAAAAGGTGAGACCAGTATTTATTTTTAGCAGGACTTTGAGGTCAGGACAGGAGCCTCTTGGGGCTCTGACCAGAGGTAACTGGATTAGGTGTTGCATTATGCAATACACGCCTGTTAGGTGCTGCCAAACAATTTAAACAGACACTGGATAAAGCAGGCTTCCATCAGAGCCTTTAGAGCAAGTACTAAACACCAGGGGAAGAATTCCAGTGCAGGGGTGACCCAAACATTTTCTAGGACCAGACAGCTACAGGCACATAAACATTTCAGTCCTCACTTACGTACCACACTGTGCAATTACTTGACAGAGCAAAAGCTGAGAGAGGCAGGGGCATGGGAAATCCTATAAATATTTTTTTAATATTTAAACAGTCCGTATTTAAAGATTTTTGCAATCTGCATACACTTATTTTGCCCACAATTATTCACTTCCCTTCACTATGGCAAGCACTCGTCAGTATTCTTTTTCCCTATTGTTGCGAGATGCAGAGATCCTCAGCTGGATGGATCCTGCAGGGGCAGTGCTCTGTCTTACTGACAGTAAAGTTTTTGTCCTCCTTGTTCCGAACACTGCTCCACAGGTGATAAAGAACGGATAGGAAATAGCAACACCATCTTCTGACTGGAGGGAATTAATTTAGAAAACTTTGTGAAGTACCAGAGCAAACTGAGATTTTTCTTCTCCTCCACCATTTATGAATGAGCAGCCCTACTACCTGAGCCTCCTTGGTTTCTGCAGATAATTATTCCAAATTAAATGGCCTACAGGGTACACCAGCACCATACAGGTAGTAATTAATCACTAGACAGTGTTTGCACTCCAAATCCCAGGTGAATTTGTGTATAACATCCTGCAGCAAACAGAGAGAAGCGTAAGTGTAGCTGGCTTATCCACCGCTCTGGGGCAAACACACAGAGCATTCTTGCTGTACTGGATGAAACCAGAGCTAAAAAGCAATAATGCCACATGAATGAGCCACTAGCAAGAAATGGCTTGACATATGTTACTCTTGCTATCTGCATGGCATGAGGCTGAGGGATCTGAGCTGATGGAGATCTCGATTTCTCTCCTTTTGTTCTCATTGCTGATGTCAGTGAGACCTGGAACATGAGGAAATAAACTGACAGGATCTCCTCCATCCCACCCATTCCCGTAGGCCTCCCACTTGAAGGCATGCAGCTGTGACCCTTATTTGCATATTGTCGTGACTACAGATCTCCTAGGACTCTTCTGTGAGACCCATGAACGCTGAAGCGCTAGAGATCAGTGTCTTCTCAAACCTTTGGCAACAGCCTGAAAACTTTTTCTGGATTTGTCCTTTATTTTCTGCTCTGAAACACTGGGGATGGGCTTCTGCTCGGCAGGGCTCTCTTCAGACAGGAGTATCAGCACACCAACAGACAGGCACCTTCACCAAAGGTCCAGAAGAGCAACATTCCCATGTAGCTTGCACCACTTGGCCCAAAACTATCCAAGAGAAGAGTGGGACACTAAAGGTAAGTGCCTACATTGGTGCAGCAAAACTTCGCTTTACAGCAAACACTAAGCTCCAAGCTAAGCCGCGGTTTGGTTCTGTAAGATAAATGTCAGACAGATAGTCGTGCTGCGCCTCTCTATTTATATTAACAGATAATGATTTAGATTGCTAACTCTGCTTCTCATGACTTTAGTGTAGCTTTGAACTGTACAAATGGCATTGCTTTCTTCTTCTTTTCCAAGCAGCCTGATGAAATGTGCCCCACCACACTGAAGGGAGCTGTTACCTAACAGTGTGCTCTGCGTGAAACAACAGTTCTGAGAATGATGCTACACCAAGTGTGATGAAGAGGAGACGATGTTGATTTGTTGCCCAGATACTTACCTAGAATTGTGTTCTGCCATTTCAATTAATATTGTGAATACTACTCTCTCTAAGGAACCTACCACTTATATTCTGTATGTTTTATGCAGACCAACACAGAAGAATTAGCTTACCCACACAGTTAAAAACAAAATACAGACAGAAAATATGCACGCTTCTATTTTGAAGTGAGCAGATTTTCCCCTAAGTCTGCATGGTTTTTTACTGCTTCAAAGATGTTTAGTCATTGTAGCTCTAAAAGTATACCTAAGTAAGCACATTCCTAGTCAGCAAAATTTATCTCAGAGCTCGTCTTCGTCTCCAGAAGAAAATAGATGGTGTACACATTTCAGCTTAGACTATCTCCAAGTATCTCTGGCAGCGAGCCTCTCTTCTGCTGTATACAAATTGCTGTATGATCAGCAAAATGCAGCATTTCAAGGCAAGAACATTTAACAGTATAGGATGCAGCAACTACGAGGAAAAAATCTTGCTCAAGTGCTCCACGATTCTAGTGTCAACCTACATAAATGGCAGAACCTAAGTAGTATGCAGCTTCAGAAAAATTTTGCCTTTGTTTCACCAACAGATGCAACATGACAACCAGCTCACCTAGCTCCGGACACCTACCACGTAGGTTCCTGCACCCGAACAGATCACCCTAAGCTCGTTTACAGGAGAAAAATAAGTATCTCTGGGCATCTGACCTACATCAGGCATTTATTTGGGGGTAAGACAAAAGGCTCCTATTTCTCTCCACTGACTGCAAAACCTAACTTTCACAGCATATTGTCCACATCGGCTCAGATGAATCCCAGCCATGACGTCTCCGGCAGAAGATCCTGTGTTTGTGACCACCCTGCTCACCCAGGCAATGGCTGCTGAGAGTGCCAGGTCTCAGCAGTGCAGGGAGCTGGCAGCACACGCACAGCCAGAGAAGCCAAAATCATCACTCAGCTCCAGGTTAGCAGACCCAAGCATTAGCACCTTGTGGACTAAAGCAGCTCCCAAGAAGGTCTGATGTCACCACGGAGCGTGTCTGAAGTCTTAACCTCTGCATGCTGCAGACAGTGCTGCTTTTCCCACTGTAAGGAACAACTAGGTTTTGCTACACAATGCTGGTCATTTCCCTCTGCAAAGAGTTAACCAGGGACAACAGACTGTCATCCTGGGAACCCTGACTAGGTCTACTGTCTCTCAAGGGAAGGGACAAGAATCACAGCCAGCTAGGACAAACCTGAAGCCTCCAAGGCCCTCAGCAGACCACCCTCAGGAGAGTCAGGCATCTCTCTTCATATCACTCTGGTCTAGCTCCCTGGTTCCTCCAAGATCCTAGCACACATGGGCATCCATTTTCCTCCTGTCTGTCTTAATAAACTTAAATATCTGATGCCAAGGCTCCCACATTGAGTCTTGAGTTAAACTAGCAAGTGCTGAGCTATTCCCACCTAAGCCTTCCTCACCTGTGTAACTTCCAAGTGCTGATGGGGTAGGACTAGCCTCCTCCTCTAGTTCCTGATGTGGCAGATATTTGAGTACTTAAGAGCCAAGAACAGTCTGCCTAGCTCTACCAAAATTACTTAAGCTGGTCGAATTAAGCAAGTGCCCCCAGAACTGGAGTCTAAACCCCATAAAACCTAGGCTGACCTGGAGATCTTAAATATTCTCTTTCTGGCTCCCTGTCTATGTGGACCTATCATCCCAACCACGGCTGTTCTTCCAAGTCTTCTCAGTGACCCTGCACACTGCAGTAACAGCGTGCTGCCACACCACCTTTTATTTCCAAGCACTTCATCATCAGAGACAGGGGAAAAAGACTCCCTCCTCCTCCCATTTATCAGAAGAAAGAAACCACTCGCCACCCTTGTATACACGCAAGTCACATCCGTATTGGTAATAAAAGTAAGAACTGAAAATGGAGAGGAGATGCTTTAGGTAACTTTCTACTCTGCAAACGTGTGTGAAAACTGGCAGTTCTGTGAACGTTTATTACAGACAGCTGATTTATTAATTCTCTATGAACGGAATTCCTGAATTGGTTTATATTACTTATTGATTTTCCCTTTTCTTCCAGCCCCTAATGAACACAGTAAGACTTCTCTTCCATGGAGAGAAGAAACGCTAATATCCAAACCAGAACTTTGCCATCTAAGTGTTAAAAGCCAAGTTCTCTTTTTGCCATAAAATGACTTGTTTTAAGGGAAAATCTCAGGGTTTTACATTTTTAATTCAAGTGATAAAAATGTTTCTATGTCACTTTTTCATCAGCAGAGTTGTGCAAAAGTTTTGCCCTAAAGTCTGTGATAAACCACATCACTGTATCAGTGTGTGTGTGTATATACATATGCATACATTTATATATATTTTCAAACAGAACCAATGGACAGCTGTTAAACAGATGCATAAGCACTTCTGCCTGTGCAGATGCAGAGTACTCACCTCAAGTGCTGGTTAAAATAGCATGTAAATGGTTGTGAACCCACTTTCTCTTTCCAGTATTTCTGCTTGTACGTGACGTTCTCAGAGTTCTCCTGATCATCTCTTGCGCAGGGAGGGATGTACGAACACTGCCAACACATCGCAAAATAGAGTTACTTCTGCGCTAAAGAACGCAGGGCATCACTTTCTCTACATTTTTCTCATAGTATCAGTGTGACTGAAATGGGCAAAGAATAATAAGTACCAGCTCCAACGAAACAAAAAGGAAAAGTTAGTGAACTTTAATTCAATTGCTAGTTACTTCCTGTAGTTACTGGCAAAGAATATGCCAGCATTCAGAAACAAAATAAAAGCTTTACCATGTTTTGTTCCATTATCAAGCCAACCTGCCACGTAACACTTGGGCTTTTTGCATGATTAATGTAAAAATTATCACTTAATTTTGACGTATTTGTAGCCAGCTGCATGGATTGGATTTTAATTACTTCCTATTGTCAGTGAGGCATGTAATCACAAGTTTTGTTTAGCATCGTGCTAATAAATAACCCAAATATTCCAGCAAGCTCTTCCAGATGACAGAATATCTGTTATCTGCCAGCAAAAGACAGGTATTTGTCCACTGTTGCAACAGGGCGAAACAAGCACAGAAAGGTCAAAGCAGGAAGGTTCAGCATCTGCTTCTGCTGTGTAGAAGCCAACAAGGGTTGAGAGTACAGCTGAGCTGTCAGCAGATCTCACCCTCAAATAGCTGCTTCAAAGCCCAGAAAGATCAAGGAAGGTTTCTCCCCCAGCTCGGTGAGATTCCACTCTGGGTCACACACAACACACATATCTCATTTCCAAATCTCCTCTTTGACACTTCTCCCAGCCACAAGGGAGTGAAACAAGAAAAAAAACAAATAGTCCACTGAACCCAGTGTTGGCGGCATCAGGATCTAAGAGCCCAGGAATGATCCCTCCTACTGTTACAAGGCATCCGTATGGGAGATCATTACAGGAGATGTTGAACGAAACTGAGTAATGCAGCTTAACTGATCCTTGGATAACATAAAAGCTTTTCACCCTGGAAAATCAGGGACATCAAGGCTCAAGGTGCACACGCACAGATTTTTAATTCCTTTGAAACTGGAAGCTGCAAGCAGAAAAAAATTGACTATGAAGGCAGCTAAAAAGCCTCCTGCTTAGGTAGGAGGAGGAAGCTGGAGGTTCAGGGTGTGGGAAGCCCATAAGGGGATCCCCACATATGATCACAACATGAGTTTATTCACATTATCCTGAAGACAATAACAAGGAGAGAGACAGCCCCTCTAACCTGAAAATTAAGATCACAGTGACTTACTGTGCCTAATGAGTGCTTTCTCTCCATCTTCACTTGGTGAGGTTTCACAGGGGTCTGCCATGCTCCCAGCCACACTCTATATGCGGGCTGTACGGACCTACAAATCCATCTCCACCGTACAACAGCTTGAAACTTTGCCATTCCACGGGGATGGGAGAAAACTCAGGATTTTATTGGCATGAACATCTAGAATGTGACCACTTCTTTTCAGCACTTAAAGCTGCTGCCTATGGCTTCCAAGCTTCAGACTGAAAGAATCTGTAAGGTCTTGGGTTTGCTTCCAAGCTGAAACTTGACTTTTTTGTATGTGAAGGCCCCCATTATCACATAGTTCCACTTCTGGTGTTGCCAAGCCACAGAGCTCCCTTCAGATCCCTGTCCAGATGACCCTAAACAAGGATTATCCCACTGTTGAAGACAAATGACAGAAACAAGCAGCACCACCACTCTGCTTCAGGAAACAGAATTCAAGACTTATTACATGCAGTTATTTTCATCTTAGATAATATTCCTTGGCTGGCAATGTTTTGGTTTGGTTGTGTGTTTTGGAAGCATCAACCACATTCCTGTTTCCTCGACATCCCCAGTGCACAAACACATCTGTTGCAGCAGCTGGATGGGTCCCTTGTTTCAAGAGGGACAGGGAACTGCTTGAGAGAGCCCAGTGCAGAGCCACAAAGATGATGAAGGGAGTGGACCAGCTCCCTTCTGAGGAAAGGCTGAAGGAGCTGGGTCTCTTCAGCTTGCAGAAGAGGAGGCTGAGGGGTGACCTCATTCATGTTTATGAATATGTAAAGGGGGAGTGTCAGGAGGACAGAGCCAGGCTCTTTTCAGTGATGTCCAATGATAGGACAAGGGGCAATGGGTACAAGCTGGAACATAGGAGGTTCCACAAAAATATCAGGAAAAACTTTTTCACTGTGAGGGTGACAGAGCACTGACACAGGCTGCCCAGGGAGGTTGTGGACTCTCCTTCTCTGGAGACATTCAAAACCTGCCTGGACGCGTTCCTGTGTGACCTACTGTAGGTGATCCTGCTCTGGCAGGGGGGCTGGACCAGATGATCTTTTGAGGTCCCTTCCAACCCCTGACATTCTGTCATTCTGTGAGTCAGCAGCTTTGGCACAAAGCCACGTGAGAGTAATGCTAGTTCTGCCCTGTCCCCGAAAGCCACAAACATGTTGCACCATCCCACCTGGTCCCCTCCTGATGCTTAGCCTAAGGTCCAGTATTCCCAGCCTTCTCTGGTCTGGAAGCCTTTCAGATCCTGATGTTGAAACTGTACCATATTCCACCAGTTGTACACACACTGTCTACATCTGACTGTAACCTACACACTGATCTTTCCCAAGCCCCCAACTTCTAGGTGCATTCTTGCAATATAGCGATACAAGAGAGTAGAAGAAAACAGGCTTTATTCAGAGTCTCCCAAACCAACTACTACTACTATACAAGACAGCTAGGCAGCAATATGTGTTCTTCTGCCTAAATTTCCTTTGCGATCTCAAAAACTCCTTCTCTTCCTGTGGTACAAGCTCCAGTATGTAACTTCTCTCCTGCAAAACATTTCTTCCTCGTGGCTGAGCCTATTCCTGCTCTCTGCTATGAAACTGTGATCACTCCACAACTCTTCTGCTGGCAAAACTTTCTCTGGATCCTTCGGAGACCTTCCATCTCCCCAAAATATTACATGAATCCTTCATAGACTTCACAATCTGATGAACCATTATTTATCCCCATCCTTAGTTTCAGAGTTAGAAACAACTGCAGATCTCTTTTCCTAAGAGATGTCCATCTGAATGGACAAGTAGCAAGCATTAACAGTCTCCAAGGACAGGTCCATCACAGAGGACTTCACAAATTTTCACACCAATTTCCACACTTTTAGCTCAATTTTTTCAGGGAAGGGATTTTTCTTGGTTTGGAAGATGCAAAGGGGACCACAGACAGCTTCCCTGATCAACACATCCATCTTTCCCCATGCCAAGGCAAGACGGTGCATGGGAGTACTGCCAGTATCTACAAGAGGGACACCTAGAAGGTGAGGACAACAGTGAGTATGCTTTTCATAACTCAAACTTCACATCGCTCTTTGCACAGAGTAATCTCAATGACAGCTGACAGGAAACACACTGGATTAATTTCCATCTCTTCATCTTCATGTGGAAAACACAGAAGAGACGTTGAGGGTCTTGCCATAAATCAATGGGACATCATAGCTTGAGCCTGTTTAGGATTAACAGTCTTGAAGAGAGGAGTGGTCCCTACCCACGGCAAAATCATCATCATATGAATCCCAAGGGTCACCCTGGAACATCTCCTCAATATGATGAAGGCCTTGAGCCACAGTGAACACCCAAGATCCAGCCCCAATGTGGACTTATCCCCTGCTGCACAAACACCAGAGCTTGCTCACCTCCCCAGGATTCCAGCATGGTTCCCACCAACCTAACTTTCATTTTGGCCTTTTCTGATCCATGCAGGCGATAGATCTTTCTTTTCTCAGCCCCTCAAGAACGCTTACTGGGGACTTTGCTGGATCAGTTGGATCTCCCCCCAGAGCACAGTCAGCAGGCGGATAGAAAGGAATCATAACCTGGCAACCTTTTCTGCCATGAGTTGGTGGATGAACGTGAAATGAACTCCCACTTTGTCAACAGGCAGTTTCTGAAAGGTTAATTCCACAGTCCTTCCCCACAAGACACGTCATGAGATCTCACCATCAAAACATAAACAAGTGCCAAGTGTTCGAAAGCAAGCTAGAACGCTTTGTGCTCAATTGTAACTTGTGCAGTGACATCCGTTTTCAGTGGAAGGGTCCCACTCTGTATTTCTTTGATGCTTTTTTCTCAAACAAATTACAACAAAGTTGGAGGATAGACATTCAGAATAAATCTAATGGAGTGGAGGGCTTTTCAGCAGGTCTATTGGTACATGGTGCTGAAATCACACCTCCTACACTGTCATTGCAATGATAAAATTATATGTAATTCAAATAAAGTCACAATTACATAGCTCAAAATCAGTATCAGGCTAATAATACTCCCCCTTCAATCAAAGCCAGTGTTCCGATAGACAACTCAGGATTCGATTCAGTAAAAATGTCAATGAGCAGATAATAAACCTTTACACTGAAGATTTTTAAGGTCAGTATCTGTGTTTGTTACTGGATGCTCCCACTCCAGTGTGTCTGCAGATGCCTGGGAAGTTTCCAAGTCCTTCTGAACACTTCACCAGAGCAGATATTCTTTCATATCCTGGAGAAGGGACAGAGACAGGAACTCTTGGACATAGTCAACTTCCAGGTCACATTTCATGCTTTTCAAAGACCAATTCTTGGCTAATTCAGTCATGTTTTTATGAAAAAAGAACAACAAAAAACACAAAACAACCCCCCAAAAAAGCAGACTTGGTAGGCTGTGAGGGAGGCTGTCTCAAGGCTGGAAGACAATGTCTACAAGATGAGACCAAGAGAGTCTCAAATGCAAACAGACATAAGGGCCCAAAGTAGAAGCAAGTCAGCCCATCAGAAGACAAATGGAGGGCACTAAGAAACAAGTCTCCAGCCTCAGTCTCTAAGCACTTGTGGAGGACCATCCTCCTAGCTGCAGGTGAACTACAGGACACAGCAGGTACCATTTGGAAAGGCTACAGCTGTGGCAAGAGATGGGTGGGAAGATTCACTCCATTTATACAAAAAAATATCCCCTCCCACGTGACTGTACCAAGGAAGCTGGAGCTCCTTGTCTGGTTTTCACCTGCATCCGTCAGCACAGACAAACCCAGCAGGAGTGACCAAATCCACAACCCCTCACAGAGGCTCAAGGCAGTGAGGGGCACCCCAGATAAGGTGGGAGGGCGGTGAGACTCATGTGCTGCACCTGGGGCTGCTTCAGAGGAATCGCTAGACAGCATCTGCAGAGCTTACCCGTCACCAGCACCAGCTCAAACACGGATCTGAGGCTTCATCAAATGCACCAGACCTTCCCAATTTTATAGTAGGTATAATTGGTATTAAACCTCCTCTGTTGTGTGTCATATTTAAGAGAGTCCAAAAAAACCAAAACTCTATTTACAAGTGCTCCAGAGAGATAACAGCGTATCATCTTGCCAGGCTGAGCGGTTACAGAAATGGGGTGCTGCTGCACAGCTGCCAACATCAGGCTCACCAGTCACTCCCCTAAAATTTTCTTCATCAAAACAGCAGGCAAGATCTTCCAGCCCTACACTTTCAGTAGAAAGGGAAAAGTAAAAAGCCATAAAGTATATCTTCTTAGCAGCTGGCATACTCCCTTATCCTTTTACCCAACCAAACCTATAGCCTTGCCTCTGCACTCGCTCTATTCCCTGGCAATGCACTCGATGGCCAGAACGATAGCGACAAATTGACTTTGGAATTAATCGCCCTTAAGCCTTATCTCAGAGATGATTATTACTATCAAGGCAGCTGAAGAAAGGCTACCATCCCTCCACTGAAATTCTTTCCTCCGAGGCAACAATTAAATAAAAAATAAAAAATAAAAGAAATCCACAAATCACTCAGACTGAACATGAATGTAATCGTGCCCAGTGCTTTATATATACATTTCTGGATTAAGTCTGACCCAGCTATATAATCTTTTAAGAGCTAAAATGAATCCTGAGCTGCACAATGATGTGATTATCTTAGGAAGCAAAAGAGGAAAAAAAAAATAATTTCTTTTTCCCGCAGCTAAACCTCACTAGAACAGACAGATTCATAGCTGCTGATGTGTTTATACGCCAGCCCACTCTACTATAGAAAGTAGAATATTTTTAGTCCAATACACTGGGGATTTTTGGAGGGGAGTGAAGCTGCCAACTGATTCAGTATTGTTTCCTGTTGTAAAGAACCTGAACTATGCTTTTTCCACACTATTGATTTACCAGAAAGAATTGGCAGCCCACACAGAGAAGCAGCTAAAGAAATATAAAACTTGAAGACTGTTGAAAACAAAATTGGTCATTTTTTTTCCTTATGGTTAGTTGGAACTGATTAGTATGTTGTACGTCTCATTGCACAAACTCAAGTGAGTGTGCTGCAAGAAGGTGATGGAAATGGGAAGGGTTAAATGGCTCCTTAAGTGTTCATTCATAAATACATACTCGATCCCAAGTATTAAATCCAGTAGATTGTTACCCTGTTGGTAGGACTAATTTATTTCAGTATCAAATCCTGAAAACTTGTAAAGACGTCAACACTTTGGGACAAAAATTAAAAGGACAATATAACTGTTCAGCTGCACAGACATTAAACTTGGGAGAAGGGAAGAAAGTGACAGCTATACATACCTCCTTCCTTTAAAACGATACGTTTTCCTAATGAGACCTAAACAACTTTTGACTTTTGTATTGGTTTTACATAAGCTCCGTAAGGTAAATAAATGGAGCACATTTTTTCCCTGTTGTTTTCCACTTAGTTAAATTCAATTACTACCAGAGAATGCAGTTACATCAAAAAATGCACCCTTTCTGCTTGGTCTCATCTAGTAAATCGGATTCAGTCCTCAGCAATAAATATCTCAGGGTAAGCAGCCCACACCCAGAGATGCGAGGTACAAGGCAGATAAAATGAATTGTATTTCTTAGGGCATGCAAGTACAATGTGCTCTCAACACACAGTCCTGTGCTTCCTTATTAAGTAAAAATAGGATCCTGAGCAATATTTATGGGCATCACTTCTGAAGTTCTGTGTGCCTCCCTACAGAAATTGCAGCCTAGGGGTTCCTGGGCAGGTGCAGTCCTTCTCTTCCCACCAGACTTTCAGAAAGGCAGGAGAAGGTGAGACTAAGAAATAAAAGCAAAAGCAGACACTTCGGCTACTCAGAGAGATATGTGGTCACAGCCCATCTTAAAAGCCTCTGCTGAAACCAAGGATGCTGCAGGAGTTGCTGATGGCACAGCTCACCACCCACCTCCCACCCCTGCTGGAGATGGCCACAATGGGACCTTCGGGCCATGCTCAGGGACAGCCACGCTGCACCCTCTGTGAAAACACCGCATCCTCACCTGTTTTCAAAAGGGCATTTCACCAGCTACCCCTAGACCACCTGAAGATAGAGAAAGAGATTTAGAGAAGTCTGGGCGGCTGGGTGCCCGTGGTGCCCCTCTCCATAACCACTGCTGTCTCTGTGGGGAGCCTGGCAGCAGCACCCCAGGGAAAGGTGAAGTTTGCAAAGCTCCCTCACAGGCCGACCTCTCATCCACTTCGCTCTCAGGCACCATCCAGCATTGCAGCTTCATTGCTCATCGCTTCTGAGTGGTGCCAGCAGTTTAATCCAAATCCTGTCAGACTTACCTGCTCTGCTGATTTTTGCTCCAAACACCCTTCCAAACCCACAGGTTTCTAAGGGGAAAAAAGCAACCTCTAAACCCCAAGCTTGCAACTAAATCCACCTTCCAAGGGACAGAATCACACTGGTGTAGCTATGGCTGCAGAGATGTGAGGCTGCACATCCCAGACTGGGCACACAAATCTGATCCCCAGCCCCTGCACAAGGATCCCTTAGCATTTGACTCTTGGCACTGCGCTACATCCACGTCTCAGTGGAAGACTGAATTTACTTCTGCAATACACTCCACATTTCAGGAGGAAGGGTGGGGATTTTGCCACATATTCTATTTTCTGGAAGCCACCTAAAAAAATCTCCACCACACAGGCAGCATGCTGCCAAGGGTGTCTTTACTTAGCATGAAACGGAAAAGGACAAAGCAGAATAACTGCCTTTAAAAAAAGGGAAAAGAAAACACAAGTTACACATTGCCTTCAGACTATCCTACTTTGCTAGAAGATGCAACTTCAAAGCCACTTCTACCAGGTCTGTTTCATTGTGAGTGGTGGAGAAGTTTAAGAATCAAAACAGCACCGAGGAACTTCCGTTTCAGCGCAGCTCTCTCCCCATCACCCTGTCAGGAGCAGCAGCTCCATTCAAATTTCACCTTGTGCTTTTGGGGAGCTGCTCTGGGAAGCCCCTCGCCCACTGTGACATGCTGCACAACAGCACTGGTCACAGAATCACAGAATTGTTGAGGCTGGAAAAGATCTCTCAGATCCAAGTCCAGCCTATGTCCCAACACCAT